TGCAGAAGTCCCAATCGTGATTCACTCCTTTTTTAGCAATAACATGAAGAAACAAAATTACTTGTAATGAGGTACAATGTTGCTCACCATATGCGCGAGTTCATGGGCAATGACAGATACAATTCTCTCCTTGTTCCCTGTTGAGGATAGGACGGGGTCATAGAGTAAAGCTGTCTCTCGGTATGTTACTAAACCCCAATTTTCCATTGCGCCAGCATTGAAATCAGGCAAAGCTATTTGATCTGTAAGACAGAACAGTCACAAAATAATGCATGATAAGTTCACATTTTAGTAACAGATTATCTACATGTTCTAATACATTAATCAAGATACAAATAATTATGATTACATTCAGTGTAATTTAAATATCTGCGAGATATCTGTTAAGTGCACCATCAAATTACAGATAAAATAACTTTCAAATATTTCAAATACACTATCTTGTATTGTAACATAACATATAACTGAGCAAAGGACAGATCTTTGTCATACCTGACTTTGAAAGTGGATACGTTGCATTATAATAACGCTCATAAAATTCAAGTATGGGGCCTGTAACATTCAGAGCGTAGTCTCCTTGTCTGTCGTCAATAGCTTTTCGCCGGGCCCAGATACGGATCTAAAACAAAGCTATATTTCATTTAACAACCCATAATGATCCAGATTTTTACCTATGAACAAATCATTCTCACCAAAACATCTCTCTGGGTTGAGTGAATGTCAGCAAAGTCACAGACAATGAAGGCCAAGAGATAAGTGGACATTCTGGCTGTTGGCTCAAATTTAGTTACTAGACCAGAATGGGTGTTCACAGTGTCTGTAAAATTAATAATATCACTAAACAACTACAAGACCCTGTAAGTAATGACATGATGTTTGTATTGTTTGTATTGATAAAAAACTGACCAATTTCTCTGCCATTGGAAAGAGCAATAGTGCCATGACTGTGAATAATGGTGACATTAAACACAGCTTTCATGGCTGGTTCATCAAAACATGGAAACGCTTTCCTGGCATAAGTGGCTTGCATTTGAGATGTTGCAATAATCCTGCAACATCAAATGAACATGAAAACATCAAAGTGTATTAACCATTAGAGCATTTTAAAAATGTGTTGTCTCTCCTAGCAATAAAGTAAAAGAATACAATTTACCACAATTTACAATTTACCACAAATTTTAAATTTACCACATCATTTGCCATTACATCATGCTTTATTTTGATCAGACCTGAACATTTAGACATAACATATGGTTCTCGAATACTTACTTCTTTACACCATTCTCATTGTATTCACTTCTGTAGAAGCCTTCCAAGTCATCTGCCAGCTCACCCTGAAATTCAGTGTGAAGAACATATGTATTCCCCTCTGTTAGGGTGCTTCGAAGCTGCAAAACCAAATAGTGTGTTTTTGATACAAGCCATGACTTCTCTATTGCTGGTGCAGAGTGGTGCTCAGCAGTTAGCACAGCCAAATGCCCATCAAAACTAGTAAGATTAAGTTTGTTGCAGTGAATGATGACAAGGTCTGTTTCTTTCACACATTTGAAAACCACATAGGAAAGTCCAGTGAAAATGTAAAGGCCATCTTCATTAGGCTCCAGCCTCGGCCATAAAGTCAGATTGTAAGAGAGTGGGAGCAGAGAGTCTGGAAGTCTGTAACGATACCATGGCTCCTTTGGGGTCGAGGGGGTTGTGGGTGATGTAGGCATACCGCCACTGTCCGTTTGTCCATCTCCAGAGTCACCCCAATTCTTTGCTCTTTCCTTGTCATATGCAACAGATAATGCAATGATTGTAATTAGAGCACATACAGCCATAAAGAGCAGCCCCAGTGCTACATTTTTACTGATGTAGAAAACTTTTCCCATAGCTGCTTTAGAGCCGGACCAAAGTACTCTCAGAACGTTGTCCCCTTGTACAGCAGATGTCTTCCCTCCTCAGTTAATAGCTGAAGAATTAACATGGCAGAAAAACATCACCTAAGGACAAACAAGCAGGTTTTTACTAATTCAAGTGACCTTTAGGATACTGAAAGTCAAAGTTTAATCTTAAAAAATGCAAGTCCAAAGATATTTATATTTGAATTAATATAGAGTAGTATCCTATTTAATTACATAATTGTTAATAATTAATATTCTAACTGTACTCTTTGACACAGCACTAATTAAGCACACATGAAAAGAAAGGTATGTGGTTTAACATATATTCAGGATTAAGATAGAATTAGTTATAGCATAAAATATTGGGAAATGTTGTTAAATACATTAGAGGTTTTCAGGACTAATTGCTGGATTATGGCACTATAAATGGCACAAAGCACTTTTTAGTCTTACCAGATTTACATTCTCTTCATAAAATGTATTAGTAAGTAATGGAACTGATTTCATTCACAATCCAACAGAAACTCAAGACTAATGACTCTTTGAGATGTCATACTGAATAATCATTAGAAAAGCAATGCCATGCAGTCAAATCGTTGTCATGCCATAAACCATCACTGCTCCAACCCCCAATAATGCTTGAGGTGAAATGCTGGAGCAGGGTCTAATTAAGGTCTTAGGCAAATTGCAGAGTACCAGAGGAGGAAAGAGGACTCCACACGGATCATCTCACCCAAGAGAGAAGCAAGTCCAAAAACAACTCTTACAACATGCACTGTAATGAAATGAAAGTGAAGTAACGATCTGACAACCTTCCAATGAAAACTTGGCATTATGGTTCAAATAGAGTTAATATTAAGCTGCAGATAAATATCCGTAGCCTATTGCTCGTTGTCAGTTGTGATCACAACATTCTATAGGTCAGTAATATTTAATACAGTAGTGGGGAAGATAAAATTAATATAGTTAAAATGCAGATTTTTGTTGTATCAAGATCAAAGAGATGATCATACTTATTGGTTGATTGTATGAATTATTGCATGAATATATATTGTACTTTATTGAAATGTACCCCATTTATGACATCATCCTATCCAGAGACTGATTAGCCCTAACCCTAATTAGCAGTTTTGCTATAAACTAGCACAAACATATTACCTCTTTGTGTATTTCAGTGTTTTTTTTGTGCATTGTCACTGATAAATAAACAAATACACTAAAAATATACAGTCTATGGAGATGACACAATCCCTACTAACCATATAAATTGCTGACAGTGAGGCAGTAACTTATGACTGGTGCAGGTGTTTCCTCCAAACCGTTATTGTGGGAAGACTGCTCTCTACAATTCTTTGAGTCACAGGTTTTATTGTCTAGTAATCGACCTGAGTCTCAAATGAGTATCTTTTTAATATTTTTTCTGAGTTCATGCCATAAGACACAGGGTTGTCTAACAACAATCCTGTTGTAAAAGACCAGATGTTGCACTGTTAATCATTCATACAAGCTTGCGAGTTGAGCCATATTTTTGCATGCTGACTGTAAAAGATTTTTTTTCAGTTATTATTGTCATTTTGAAGTTATACATTTAAACTTCAGGTTCTTCTCATAAAAGATCTCAATAAAAAGATAATCAAATACATCTGAAGTCAACTAACTGAATCCAAATCGCAACCACAATTATTAAACCACAACTGCCTCTGCAAATAAGAAAATATCTTTTATTTTTTATAGAAAAAAAAATTTGTTGTACCTGGAATTTAGACTTCTGTAAAGATCTTCTGAAATTCATGGAAATACTATATCAGTTCATATTTCAGTCTTTAATTTTAACGCTCCCAAAGTTTACAATGTGCAGAATCCTATTTTTTATTTTATTTATTTATTTTTATCCAATCGCAATCAAAACAAAGGTCAACAAATTGCAGTTTGATTCTTTTCCAAAACTGTGCAGCCCTGAAGTCAACTATCCAGGAATTCTTATCCTGTGTCCAATCTGGCCAGGAAATAAAGCATCCTGTGTCATGTCCGTATCCATGCACAATGCATACTCATGGATCTGTGCTTTTGTCAAGGTAAAGAGCACTGAAACAGGCAACACTTTCATTGTGCCAGCAGAGGGGGAGATTATCTTGCGAGTGGGAATGTTTATCTTGGGGGCCTAAACGCACATATTTTCATGGACTAAATAATGACAACAATAGAGTCATGTGACGCTTACTTGTTTGTGCTGTTTTTTTAAGAGACCCCATTTGAATAGTCTATGTGCCTAATCTAAACCTGTCAGCTCACATGTAATAGTGAAACAGTTAAGAGTTAAATTCACATCTGGAAATAACTACCACCAGAAAACTGCCACTTAGTGCCAAATATTTCCTGAAAAAGCATTGTTTTAGTGAGACGGACCCACTGGGGAGTAATAAATATAACTTTATTTAAGGATAGACAATTTTTGCACTAAAGGCATCTGAAACCCTGACCCACATGATCTATAGAGTAGATAGGCATTTAATCAGTCCTTCCACTAGCTGTTAGCTTGCACCTTGTTCAGTCCACAACTGTCCCGCTTAAAGTCTAACTGAAGCCAGCTCGTATGATTGAATAGAACATGTATTTCCTGAAGTAGCTCTTCATTTTATCATCACACCATTTCAACTTCATATTTGCTCTTACTAGCAGATCATTTCTAACAAAGAAAACTGGATAAAAATGTAACAAAGAGTAAAAATATATATATATAGTTTTAGCTTGCAGAGTTTGCAAAAATGTAACAGAAGAGCAGTACATACCAAAGCAACTGAAGCCAGACAACCAAGTGCAGGCTGTGGAGCAAGTCTGCCTGGGAATGAAGTCAAAGCTGATGTAAAACCCAGTCCGCATCTGTGAGGACGGAGGAGGAGGGAGGTGGTGAGAGCTACCACAGCTTTTTCCTGGGGATCAAGGGTGGGAACTGAATTTCCCAAAACCTTCCCTACATTTGTGGGGGGGAAAAAAAGCTGAGGAATGCAATAGTATATAAACAAAGGCAGCATTTTGGGAAACCATTCTCATACCTGAGGACTTGATGACAGAGACATTGGATCTAACGTCCTGTCCAGAGAGAAATAAACTACCCAATGCAAAAATGTGAACTTTATTTAACTGGACTGAAAGTGGTTTAGACACTATGATACATTTCTGATAACTTAATATAATTTACATTATAAACATCCACTGAAAATGATTTAAACACATGACCAATGGAACATTTCTATTATTATATTTGTTTTAGCACATACGTTTGGCTACATCCATGAAACATTTAGAGAAATTATTTTACAAATCACCCACATGTAACAAAAAGAACTGTAATCTGAGTTAAAAAAAAAAAAATCAGAGAAATTACATATTAAATGGAACACTCAAACTTCCAAACAAGTAGCAACTTTTTTGAAACTTTATATCAGAACATAAAATTGTGTATTAAGTCAGCATCATTTACTCTACTATAGGGAAATGTTTCATTAAATAAAAGCAACATACAAATATACATTACATTAGAACCAGTCTTAAACCTCTGCCATCCCATTATTGTGCAACTGTGTCAAATCAAGTATTCAGTTCATTGTACAAACTAAAAATCCACCATCATCTTCTGTGCACATCAGTATATAAATTGAAGAAACATGTTCTGTAGTTCGTAAGTCCATATTCCAGTTATTTGGAAACATATCCAACAGATCTATATTCAGAAAGGGGAGAGGCTGGGAACCTTAATATTAATGTCTCCAATGTTAATGTTGCGAGGAATCTCCGGCAGGTTCATATTTTTCACAGCTGAGACAGCTCGAGCCGGGGCTGCCGACAGACCTCCCTGAAAAAAGAACAAAAAAAAAAAAAAATCATGCATGAAAGGGGAGAGGCCTGTTCCAAATGCCATTTGAATACCCATCAAAATTCAATTAGTTCAAACAGATGTTAGGTAGGTGAAGCTCTTTTGTGTACATTCAATTTTAAATTATGCAAAATTGACTCTTGTGAGCTTTAAGCCATGTAATAATGTTGATACATTCACACATTTGAGTAACCCTTGATTATTAGTGTCGACATCTCCAAAGCTCAAAACACTCTGTTCCACCTTGTGATGTCATGAAGCGGGAGTTTTCAAGTTAACAGCTACCTTTTAACTTTAGTTCAGTAGAGACTGACAATTCCAGGGCTGAAATCATTCTAATTATTCTAGTGAAGGTTCGTGTGAGTTTTAAAACATAGTGGAGTACTTCCTGTATTACCACAGCACATCACAGAGTGGAACAACATGTTTTCTGTCTGAGAGAAGAATTCAGCCTAAATATACAGGGTTTGTGTGTTCAACATGTGTGAATGAAACACAACACAACTCTAGGTGTATTTGTGGTAAGGAAACATTATAACACAGACCAGAAAAGCTTAATATAATGTCTTTAAATACATTCATTTGCTTCATTTCCTCAATACAAATTAACTTTAAAAAAAAGGGTCAAAGTTAATATAAAATAAACGGTAGTTAATATCAACCTCTGATTTTTCCATACGGTTCTGCACCTCCACCTGAGCTACTATCTCATTCATGTTGGTTTCGAGCACCATGCCTCCCATTACCACCTCCTGCAATATGTAATGAACCTACAACAACAAAAAATAACAAGATAAAACATTTTTAAAAACATTGGTGAGACTGAGTTTTTAGAAGCAAGTGCCCCTTTGTAGCAGGTTAGGAAGAGTTACAGTGTCTAATGCCAGGTCTCTGGAATGCAGTTCATTAGGGAACAGTTTTAATTTACATCTGAAGGCAGACAGTAACCCTTCCCGTCTTCTGAACAAAGACATTTTTATATGTTTTCCACAAACTTAACTTGATCTATGTCAAGAACTAGAATTTTATTTATTACTTGTACCAGGTTCTGACAAAAATATTTATAAATAAAAAATAATAAGTAGAAAGATAAAAAAATATATATATCTATCTATATATATATATATATATATATATATATTATATATATTTGACTGCAACACCATCTAAACAGACCACCAACAATGCTACATGGTGGTTAACCAATACTCATAGGCCGTCTATGCCAAAATATTCCAATCTTGGGAACATTCCTGAGGCCAAACCCCACTGCACCACATGACATCAATTTCCTGCTGGGAAAATTCAATAAAGATGGTTGAAGACGTATCTGATTAGTTTTCCGAAACACTTGTAAGTGTTGAGAAAAAGAGAAAGGAGCAAGTCAGTACAATTCTCAAAAACTCAAATTAGTGAAATCATATAATGACTTTTTAAAAATGAGTACTGTTGCAATATAGACTACTCTTTCAAGAGTAAACTGTAATTACATAGAGCAAAAAGGTGGATAAGAAGTGATAAGATGTTTCAAATTGATTCAAAGTTCATTCAGCATTACTGCTGATACTATTAGCTCACCTTGTCCATATGAAATATGAGGTCTAGCTCACACACATTTTCAAAGCACTTGTCCAGTGTCTCCACAAAGACCTGAAATAAAAATGAATGCATAAATATATGTCATTAAAGATGACATGTTATGCAATTCTGGGGTATTTAGCATTAGAGATATTTGATCTTGTATGGTGTCTGGTTGAGTGGGCTTTTGTGTTTGAATAAGTTTTTTTCTCCTGCTATTTATATACTATAGGACACAATTGCAAATTAAGTTATACATATCACAGGGCATTTCTCTTAACAAATAAATGCACTGCAACAATAACTGAAATTCAAGTGCACAATACTATTCTTACTTAAAAACCAGTAGTAAAAAACACTACTAAACTGCTAAACACACTAAAATTTGTAAATAAAAATAATATTATGTTAAATTATATGCTTCCTTTTTAGAAAAAAGACTGTAAAGAAAAGTAATAAACCTGTATAAGGTCCAAAATGCCAAGTTCACTCTCAGATGAGTCCACACAGAAAACAAAGTACAGTGTGGCATAATGACGGTAAATCAGCTTGTAGTCCGATCCGCCGATTAGACTGAAAAAATAAAGTTAACACATGAATTGTTGCTGACAACAAGGGTTTATAGAAAATTGTGTAGTGGTGGCATGATCAATGGCACCATCTAATGGTTTATGCCGATATTACAGCTAGAAAGCAGGTTTATATTGGTTTTATTTAAGAGTATTATGGCATCGTTGCATTGGCAGTTTTACTGAGAAAATAAGTAAGTAGTCAAATGTATCATACGCTACATTTATTAACCCACCTGCCTCCCTCTAGGAAGTTGCAAACGTTGTCGTCTCTCTTCGACACTAAATGAAAGGTTTCCCGAATGATCTGCTGTTGCATGTCCTCGGCCTGCAAACACAAGTATAATAGAAAATATGTAAAATGAAACACTTAGGCGTGTTTAATAGCCTCTATCCAATGTATCCTCTATCCTATCTATCAGTTGCAAACAATAAATTGATAGACATAAGTGTTAACTGTTATGTAAATAAATTGTAGCAACTTTACAACAAAGCACCATAAAGCAACGCCATCGTGTTCAATAAAATTATTTCAACGTCAGCACAGTTCACAGCACATAAAAGCCGCAATCAGCATAAAAAATGTCAAGAACAAATGACTTATTTATTTTTTAGCACGGAAAGATAACGTTAAGCTTAGCATATTTTACTTACAAAATACTGATAAAAACGAATGAGGCGAGGCTTGCCATGGTTGTTGAATATTAAGATTGCTTTAATCATTTTGTTTAAAAAAAAAAAAGAGAGAGATTTTATATGTTGTTCGAGATTCAAATAGATTTTAAAATAATGACATTAGCCAGTAGCTTTTTGGCTTCGAAGTGCCCGGATGTCAACATCTATATCCGGTTTTTGTCTCCACATTTTTCGCTCGAGCTGAAACATTGAACTAAATACTTAATTCCGGTCCGATTGGTAGTCTCTTTAATAAATCGTGCTCTTTTATCTGACTATACTGTCATTGTTGAGTCCTAAATAATAATTGTGTAATATACTATAGCTTACTACTTGTTTTAACTGTAGAAGTTACATCAGTAATGAGTTTCATATTGTACGTTTGGATAGAGGTAATGTTAGATCTATTCTGCCAACACAATTTATGCGTTAGTCCCATAGACCGTATATGGTTAGTCATCTGTACTCTGCGTTGTCGTCGTCCTTGATTAGGCCGATGATTTTAGAGTTGTCAGAGAACTTCTGCAGGACACCGCTATGCACGCTGTGCCTGAAATCTGCAGAGAGAAGAGGAAGGGCATGAGGACGGTCCCCTGGGGAGCCTCTGCAGGTCAAGAGGTCAGACACACGGTCCCAGGCTGGGGCTAGTTTGTGGGGTAGTTTAGAATTCACTCTTCCTGGTCACAGTCCACACAAGCCCTCTCCAGCTTCTCCCTCAGAGGCAGGTATAGTGTTGAAGGTGCTGGAGAACTCAAAGCAAAGTAAGAATTCTCACAGTACTGATGGGTGTCTCTAGTGTGTCCTCTGTTGTTGACCACTACTGTGTTTTATGAATAAATTATATTGTAACAACAAAAATAAATACATCTCAAGATAGTTGTGGATTTCTTTCCTTTCTTTGGTATTTCAGCCACAGCAACTGCTCCATTTGACATTTGGCACAATAAATTAAACTTGCATGTAGCCTACTGCCTTACTTTCTTCTCGTGGTAACCCTAAATATTTCAACACTTAATGTATTTCAATCTAGTAATAACTTTACAGCGGTCCAAGCCAGTCTTTATGGACTGTCACCATTGTACATTCTATAAAACAAAATTTTAAAAATCTATTGTTGTGTTGGAGTAGGTCGCGGTGACAAGGTGTAGCTTATTATCAAGCTAAATGTATTCTTGTTTCCTAGGGTCTTCAATTAGAAAAAAAAGAAAAAGTACACTGCAACATGTGTAGCCTATATGATGGCATTTATTTAATTCAGTACACATGCCTGCAAGGTAAGCTGCCATTAGGGATGTCCATCCATCCATTTTCTTCCGCTTATCCGGGGCCGGGTCGCGGGGGCAGCAGTCTAAGCAGGGACCCCCAGACTTCCTTCACCCCAGACACGTCCTCCAGCTCCTCCGGAGGGACCCCGAGGCGTTCCCAGGCCAGCCGAGAGACATAGTCCCTCCAGCGCGTCCTGAGTCTTCCCTGGGGCCTCCTCCCGGTGGGACATGCCCAGAACACCTCCCTAGGGAGGCGCCCAGGAGGCATCTGGAATAGATGCCAGAGCCACCTGAACTGGCTCCTCTCGATGTGGAGGAGCAGTGGCTCTACTCCGAGCTCCTCCCATGTGACTGAGCTCCTCACCCTATCTCGAAGGGAGCACCCAGCCACCCTGCAGAGGAAGCTCATTTCGAGCGCTTGTATCTGCAATCTTGTCCTTTCGGTCATTACCCAGAGCTCATGGCCATAGGTGAGAGTAGGAACGAAGATTGACCGGTAAATCAAGAGTTTCACCTTTCGACTCAATTCCCTCTTCACCACAACGGTCCGATACAGCGACCGCATCACTGCAGATGCTGCACTGATCAGCCTGTCAATCTCACACTCTGTCCTCCCCTCACTTGTGAACAAGACCCCGAGATACTTGAAGTCCCCCACTTGAGGCAGGGACTCTCCACCTGGAGAGGGCAAGCCACCTTTTTCCGGTTGAGAACCATGGCCTCGGACTTGGAAGAGCTGATTCTCATCCCAGCCACTTCACACTTGGCTGCAAACCGCTCCAATGCACATTGCAGGTCCAGGTTTGATGAAGCTAACAGGACAACATCATCTGCGAACAGCAAATGATGTCGAACCTCGGATTCAGGAGGAGCAGTGTGGTTTTCCATTAGGGATGTGATATCCAGATCTCTCGATATGACACTTCTACAATGTATTTTATGGTACGATATTTATTGTGATATTTTGTAGAGGCTAATATATGAATATGCTACATTTTCCTTTTAAAATAACCTTTGTTATAATCCAAATGATTAAGATTTAAAAGTGTTTATAACAGTTATTTTTTTGTGTAATCGGCACTGAAATGGGACAAAGGATTATGGTCTATGTAGGTCCCTCAGCTTTTTAGCTATATTGTTGTACTATAACTATTCATTTAAGTGAAGAGACTTGTAATTCGATATATTGTGATGGTCCACGATATTATTGTGAGACGTTTGATGATTCAACATCACGATATTTCAGTTATTGTTACATCCCTAGTTGACATTATCCCTTAATGGACAATAATACAACAAAATGCTCATAAAGAATCTGTGTATTCAACAAAATTTGCATTTTGTGAATGTTTTTTGGCAACACCCTTTATCAAAGGAAATCCCAAAACTGCTGCTGAGCTTCCATGTAACTTAAAAAACTTGTAAAATTGAGTATATAACAGATAATACATTTTAGGCAATTATGTAGGCTTGCCAGACTTTCAATATGGTCAGTGGAACATGACACCAATACTTCCCTAATTGTTATATTATTTTATGTTTCTATATATAAATACAAAAAATACCAGTTCTTTGGCAAACTCTCTAACTTCTCCTTCCTGCTGTTGTCTTATATAAATACTTATATTCTAAATAAAATGATTAATAAAATTAAATAAATAAATCTACTTTGATCAACTAAGACACTATCAACCAATTAATCAACTAAGGGCCTACAAGCCTAAAGACCAGGGACCACAGAACAAAGGCCAGGTGAGGGGAGTCAAAACAAGATTTATATCTGTCATCTCTTGGTAAAAGAAGAATCAAATAAACTAAACAGATAGTAGCTAACAGACAAGAGTATACCTTATTAAGTCAGTGGGACTTGATGGAATAGTACAGAGGGTTTTGAAGGACTGACCTGACTGAGCCTGTAAATTAAATCTTCAACTGGAGTCTCCGCACAGGGTAGGTTCCTGCATTATGTTGTTGCCCAAGGTAGGAAGGCCAGCAGAGGTCAAGTATTACAGATTAGTGGCTCTTACATCTGTGATTATGAACACCATGAGAGGCCACAGCTGCTGTAGGCACTTGATCTCTTACAATTTGCCTGTCAGAAGAACAAGGGTGTGAAGGATGCAGTCCTGCACATGTTTCATCCACTTGTTTCTTGATGGTACAGTAGGGTATGTCAGAGTTTGTCAGTGCTTTTTGGATTTCTCAAGAGCATTCAATACCATACAGCCTCAGATTTTGAGAGAAAGGCAGGAGAAGTTGAGAGTGGACCCTGTTTCATTGCATGGCAACTACCTGACTGAATAGCCACAGTATGCAAGACTTAGAAATGTTTTTGATACAAAATATCTAAGACCAAGGAGATGACTGTGGACTATGACATGAACAGATCACAGCACATGCATATCTGCTGAGTGGTGATCACCACATACAAGTATATGGTTGTCTATCTGACCCACAAATTGGACTGGTCAGTGCATGCTAAGGCAGCATTTAAAAAAGACAAATGAGACTTCTTTCTCTTTGGATCTTGCTAATGCGGCTGGATGCCTCCTCACAGGAACGAGACGCCAGGAGCACATCACCCCTGTGCTGTCCTCCCTCCCTCCTGGTTTTTAAATGTCTTCATGATCTGGCACCTTCTTCATTTATGTGAATTACTTACTTTGTACACTCCAGGCATAACACTCAGGTCATCAAACCAGCTACTTCTTGACTGCCCAAGGGCCAGACTCAAAGCAAGGTGAGATAAAGCCTTTGCTTTAGCGGGTCCTAAACTGTGGAACGCCCTCCCACTCCTGTTGCACATCAGAGCTGCTACTTCCTTGGAGAGGGCTGAAAATGCACTTTTTTTTGCACTGGCTTTTAAGTTGATTTTTTAAAATGTTATCGGTGTTCTTATCCTTGTTTTACTGTGTGTACTTTTTCTATTTTACTGTTTTGTGTTTACTGTTGTGTGTACTTTTGCCTGTTTTACTGTTTTATTCTTATACTGCATTTTTATCTGTTTCAGCACTTATGGAGCAGTACAGTCTGCTTTTAAATGTGCTACATAAATAAGCCTTGACCTTGCTAATGTGTACCTTTCCTTTTACTGTTAGTAACTTATAATTAGTTAAAGTGAGAAACTAGTAAACAGAATGTGAATAAATGATTTACCTGCCTGTAGTGTCATGTTATTTCAGAGTAACAATCTCAGATAGATCCAGATTTTTAGTACAATGGTTTTCCATAAAGCACAGCCTCAACAGTGAAAAGAAACATTAATAATAATGAATCCCTTTCCTGAACATGTCATTTTAGAGATGAAATGCAGCAGATAAAGTTTTACAAAATCAAATAAGATCAGCACTGACTTATAATTGCTGTAAGGATATTGCATATATTATTAACTCTATGAGTGAAAAGTAATGGGCATTTTTTCACTAATGGATTTTGAAGCATATACATTCAAATGATTTCTTTTGCTGTGTAGTGGGTACACAGATATTTTGTAGGACAGAGAATAGAGTAGATGATAGCATTTAAGATGCAACTGTGCATACAGCAGAAATCTCAATATTTCAAATAATTGAGAATTACTGAGAGAATTTAATATCCTTAAAATTCAGGTTTTGATAGTATTACATAGCATTTTATTGTTCATTATTTTAGTTACATGTTGTCTTTCTCTGATCAGGGGAGTGCAGTATACTTCAGATTATTATAGTTTCATACCTTGACAGTTTCAGCTGCACTCACACACACCTTCAATTGTCACATGATGTTGCTGTGACATGACTGATCAAATGATTTAAACAGGCTTTGGTGCTGTGGACGTTTGTTCATAGGAATCTAAAGCGTAATCAATACAGAAGACCTAATCAGACTATTAAATTGCAGTGTTGGTGCCTATGCAGCAGCAACTCAAAC